AGAGAGAGAGAGAGAGCATGTGCTTATGATTCCATTGGATTATTTTCAGAATATAAGCTAGCTCAAAATACTAGGGATCTATAGAGTTAGCTAGAATCAGTGGCATTGCAACAATCTTTGGAAGATAGTAATATTTTCCATCCTCTCCGAGAACAACCTATCCCAAATCTGAAGGGTTTTTTTTTTTCTTAACCCAACTAGTTGCAGTCTTGCAGGGATGATAAAATATAACCTTGCTTGTTTTTATAACAATCCAAATCTGAAGGTTTGCAGTCAAATGCTTGCAAAGAAACCACATGAACAAGTGCAAGAACATGAGACTGGAAAAAATCATCAGTTTCCAGAGGATTTCATAAATAAACAGCTGTATCTTTTGGCCCAAAAGTCAAACAATGAAGTTTTCAAAATTTAGAAAAGGTAATAATCCATTAAAAAGATCTGCCTTTCTTTCTTTATTTTCCCCCCCTCCTATTTTTACTCAATCTAAGTAAGCAAAAAAATGAAAAAAAGGAAAAGGAAAAAAAAAGGGAAACGTTGAGAAGTGAGAGGACATGATAGCAGTACCTGCCGAGGTAGCTAGTGCTTGCAAAAGCTGAATAAATTCAGATTCATCCAGTTCATCTCGTATATCTTCTCCCTGGACAAGTAAAAAATCAACAATGATGATAGTACAGTGGCAAGATTTACCATTTCAATGAGTGTACATTTGATTATAAAAAAAAAGAGAGCCTACAAGGAAATATTAAGAAAGAAAAAATTCCAATAAATAATGCCATGCCTTCAAAAGAATGTTCACAATGGTCTCACACGCCAAAAATATGGTACCCATGTCATCCCCAACCTGCTGACTGTTTTGCCCCAGCAGCTTCATCAGGCATGCAATAACCTATTGGAAACAATAGTAACTGCATATGAGCACGCTGTGTATGCTTTCACATCTCCATGTATAAACATCCCATAATATTCTTTCACTTTGATTGACTACCCCAGGAAATGCTTGATTCTCACACAAGAAACTTGTTGTTTAGCAAATTTTATAATGAGAATACTAACATACTGTGGCCATGAGAAAAACATGGTCCATTGCATCATAAGCATCCAATGAAATATGAACAGTGATGAATGGGGAGATTGCAACCCTCCAGAATAAGACATGACCAGGGATCCCCTGCTCATCACCATCCATAATATCCATGAATGGTGATGACCTGATCAACTGTGGCTTTTCCATTCTTCACTAGGTTATATGTACATTCCTTCCCTTTTACAGAAGTCTTTAAGATATAATATTTCGCTCTTAAAGATGATAGTGATCACCAGATATTCTCATTGGAGGGACTTCCATTCAGTTACCATAATGATTTAGTAAAAACAAACTCACTGATTTATATCCTCTACATGAAACCAACGTCCTGCATCCTCCAATTTCCGCTGTTGATTGGCTCAGGACCGGAAGCAAAAAGCATGTTGTATAAAAGGGACTGTCATGTTTATCAAAGCAGATGGTTAGCCAGCTAATACACAGGCAACCATAATCATCCTGTATCTATAAGCAAATGCAAGATTCTAGTTGAGGACGACCTTGCTTCAGTGTCTCCTTCAACCGAAAGTATGTAATCCAAAAGTTCACCAAACTTCTCCTTGAATGCAAAGGGTGTTTCTGCAAGATAGCTGCAGGCATAAAATTATTTCCAATGGTCATATCCAAATTTGAGATTTTTCTTTTTTTTAACATGCTAACAGGTTAGGTCATAAAGAGTCAATAGGATTTTCCTCTCAGTGCCAAGTGACTGGTCCTAAAGAGTCGGTGTGCTACAATCTCAGCACATAAATGAATCCACTGAAGAAGCAAGCCACTAGCTTCAAAAAGTGAGCCAAATTGCTCTATCGTTATCTGTAGAGCCTGATAACTTTATTGATGTAAGCTAAATATACTGTGCAGATAAGAAATACAAAAAGATTGAAAAATACAAAACCCATTCAGGATTTGAGTACAGGGGTTAAGCCTGGCATTCTTGCTCATCAAAAACAGAAACTGGTCAACTGATATCAGAAGTCATCATCATTTCCAGAAATACTCTATATGGGACTAGATGTCTACAGCAACAAGCAGCTTCATCAGATTGTCAGAGTTGGAATCTTTTTTTTTTTTGGGAATTGTCAGGGTTGATATATTGAGTAGTTAATCCTTAATACATATGACTAGTTGTTCCTTAACATTAGGGGATCTGCAAATCATCAATTAAAAATGAACCCAATTAGGGTATTTACTGGTAGGAAATACCTCCCAATCACACGAACAGATGCTAGCAAATCATTTCCTTTTCTGTGTCCATGTTCCTACAAAAATTGAGCCTTATGACTACAAAGCACAAACCAAAGACTAAATTTAGGTTCAAGTGCAAATATTCATAAAGCCAAACAGAAAATGAATGAAGAAAATAAAGGAACTCTTGAGATTTTGCTCACTTTTGCATCTTGAAGATAATCAATGACCACACCGATTGTTTCTGTGAGTCCAGCCACTGCCTTCATTAAAGTGGCTTCAGAAAGATTTAGTTCTGCATCTGTTCTCAAACAAGTCAGTGACAGCCTAAGGAGAAATTCCTTATAACCATATACAAAATATCATTCAAAAAAATCATGTACTAAAATGAATTCAACAAACCATAATGCTCCAAGAATGTTTCCACACATACATGTGGTGAGATGCGAAAGTTGAAACGTCAATAGAACTAATTTCCAAGGGTAAGGGTGTGCACTTCCATGTCCATGTGTTTACATGCAGGTCTCAAAAACTCGCAGGCACATCATTTTCTAAATTGATGTCAAATGTTATATATACTAAATGTGCAGCGTAATTTTCATCTTTTTAAGTGTATTAACAAATCTGAGAACCTTAGAATCATCATCATCATCCGAGCCTTATCCCTACTATTTACGATTGGCTACACGAATTCTGCCCCCCCAATAAGTTCAGGATTCCTGAAAAGATGTGGCAAAATTTTATGCTGGTTGCCTACCTAACACAACCCTCCTCCTTCACCCGGGCTTGGGACAGGCTTGACGGGCATGGGGCCGGCCAAGGCGGATAACCATGATGTAGCAAAACTGTCTCTATACCTCAATAAGTTTGACCTATACACCAATATTGCATCAATATATTTACATATAACCATCAGACGTGATAGCATGCGAAATATGAAGCCCAACCTTTTCTGTTCTATGAGGAATTAAGGGCAATTCTTGTCTAGCCCCATGGAGTAGAGTGGAAACCTATTGTTGCTATTAGATGGGCCAGCAATAAGACCTCCATGGTTTGGTGGTGTCCAGGCATATTTGCCAGAGGAGTTTGAGATTTGCCTCTCACTCCATCTTCTTTTCCATATCCACTGCAAAGCGAACGAAGTGCTAGATTTTCGAAAGCTTCATTACTAGACACCAAGTGAGCATATCAAATGGTACCTTTGATTTTATTGAATGGAAATTCGATATGAACCCAAATATATATCTAATAAGAAAGGAAATTACTATACCTTTTTCAGGATGTATACTCTTTTTAGCCCAATCATAAGTTAAGTATCCAAAGAGAACGGTTACACTATATGATGGATAAGTATCCATCAAGTTTTCAATTAGGAATTATAATTTTCTGACCCGACTATGGCAACCAAACAAATTGCTGATATACAACAAAATAAAGACTGTTTACCCACTGGAACTCAAAAAAAGCGACATCCATTATTGAGTCAAAGGTTCCAAACAATCAATGCTTCGAAATGCCCAAACTCAAACAAAAGATAATGAAACATAATCAATGCTTAGAAATGCCCAAACTCAAACAAAAGATAATGAAGCATACATAAAGAAAAGAAGCATAAAGAACATAAGTGATAGCATAAAAAGAATGAGAATGCAAGGAATGTCTTCAGGGAACTGGTATATTCGAACAAACCTCAAAGTATCATGCCAAATATGAGGATGAAATGGTGAGCAAGTAGATAACTGCAAATTTGATAATAAATAAAATTCCACACAATCGCTTGATTAACAAATAGCTAATTAGCAAATGGTTGAGTCATGAAAGAACCTCTGATGAAGTCATAAATGAAGTCACCAGAAATCAATTTAAAAGAAAACCCACTTACAACTAAAAGATGCACCTCAAAGTGGAAAAGGAACACCTACCTTCAGCCTCATCCGAAATCAGTTTAGTTATTCTCTCTATCAATGAGTAGGCTGTGGCTAGGGTACGTTGCTTAAGAAGAATGGACTCAACAGTTGAAGTATTCTTAGAAGCTTCATATTTTAAGTAAGCTAGTTCATTTAGAAGCACAGCTACCTCTATCCTCGAAAACTCCAATACCAGTAGTAAGCATCTGGAAACAAGGTGGAAAAAATATAAATAAAACTGCCTAAATTCAATCGTTCAAAGAAAAGGGACAGATACTCAAGATATACCTGTCAACTGGGATCTGCTCCTGATTTTCAGGTATATGTATAGGATTTAGGAGCCATCTCTCACCAAGTATAGCCATCATCGAATCCGCCAAAGCAAGCGCTAATTGTTTTTCATCAGATACTGCAGGACACTAATTTCAATATAAGAATAACTTCAAAGCCCATCATTTTTTTTTTATAGTTAATGGTAATTAATGTGCATGTAATGTATTAGTGTGCAGGTTTAAACTAAATCATGATACTCCAAAATATAGACATGCAGAGCAACAATGACTATGGCATGAAAAAATCAGCCCGAGGAAGAAGAGTGCAGCCTCATTATTGGTAGGATATGAAGAATCAATTAGTAATAACATACACTTCAAAATAGGAAATAGAAAAGGGTAGCCTAACCTTCGAGCATCATCATTTCAAAGCAGCAGTGAAGACACATGAATCACTCTCTGACAGGGTTCCCCAGTGAACTGAGTCAGATCGGTTACTCTGATCCAGCTCACCTGATTCAGGGTGGTCGGATAATAAAGAAATTAAAAAAAAAGAGAGGAAAAATAGGGGTGATTTCTGGGTTCCTTGAACTGGAAGCCCTCCCCACCAATCCAAAGCTAACTCCGGTGATTACGAGTTGGCTCGGCAATTTTTAGAACGTTGTTTCAAAGGGTAAATTGCTCATAACAAAACTAAATTTAGCTGTATATACTTATAAAGCACCTGTAGAAATATCGAAAGCTTTCAAATTTATAGACTAATTTTTCATTTTGTTTACAAGTCTCCATTCTGCAGCCAATCAAACATGGCCATTTTCCAATAATGCGAATGGTAGCCAAATCGACCACTTCCATTGGTTGCAAACTATGTCATAGGATAGCTAGCAAAAGCAAAACCCTTTTGGGTATCACTGATTGGAAGTGCATATACCACATCTAGAACCCGTGGGTGTTTTCATGTGGCTGCCCAATCCAGTTAGAGACACATCCCCCTATCAAGATCTCCAATGGAAAAACTAGTTAGTATAACCAGTGGCATCCTATGTACTATGCAGTAGTATATCACAATGAACATAATATGCAGAGTTGCTATACCTATATTTATTGCTTACAGGGAAACCAAGGTTGAGAAATAGGAATCTGCTCCCTAGACTTTCCCCAGCATATAAACAACTAATGTGAGGAAATTACCCCATAGGAGAATGTTTAAACATCTTGGTTAAAAACTCATTTGACACAGAAATCATAACATATAAGTCAGTTTTTTCTTTCAATTAGTTGCAAAAGTCAAAATTAATTCATTTTGAATAACACATAAGTCAAAATTAATTATCCCCAATGAACTTTTTCTATTCCTTTTTTTTTTGGGGGGTGGGTGGTCTGCTTGTTATTCATCTCTACATAAACTTTCCAATTTTCCATGTCCAAAAGAAATGGGTCATCTCATCATATTTACCATGCATTATCTTCAATTACCAATACATGGCACTATTCTGCAAATCTAGAAGGGTAACCAGAGAAGTTAATCAAACTGTTAAAAGTCACAACAACACATTGTGTTCCCTGACAAAATAATTTCTTTATGCATCACAAGGTATTTATCACCACTACTTTTCAAAAGATTCAGAAGTTAATAGGTCATTTTACGCCTCAAGCTCAACGGAAGGCCAGAGGCCTATAAGGTGATTTTCCTCCATAGGAGATGTGGCAAAATATGTTAGATGGGTTCAGCAAATGGAAAGTGTTTGAAAATAAATCCATGTTAACAGTCGAAAGCATAACATTAAAATGGGAATTTGATACAAGCAATCAATTTGAATGGGTTAAAAATGGAGTCATAGGAGCAAGAAAATGTTTTTTATAAGAAGAGCAATGTCACATACCAACACGACTTTGCAAGATTGCAACAATACCAGCAGCAATATAGGTAGCCCAAGGGCCATTATTTGACCTTGATCTTAAGGCTTCATGCAAAGGTGCCTGGAAAACACAAGCAAGCAAGAAAGTAAATCTTCACAATCTTTCAAATAGAAGAGAATTAGATCTAGGTACCAAATGGTTGAATAAAGTAGAAGAGATCCTTCAAGTTAGCATTCAGCAACAGAAATTATTAAATTAGGAGTCATTAAACTATTTAGAACAAACCCAACGCTAGTAAGGGGATAAATTTCGAATTATCAAATGATTTCTAGACTTAGTTAATTATAACAATATGCAAAGAGCAAAAGCAATGGCATTTCCGCCTGATCATCCAAAAGGGTAAAATACACATAAGATTTCAATGTATCACTAGATGCATGGCTCAATTCTCCCAAGTTCCTAGCTGAATCTTTCACAGCTAACACGGTTAAAGGAAGATGATGTCACAACCTTGGCACCACTCCATATCTATGAAGACACATAGAGAGTCTTCCACTTAACTGAAGGTTTCTTAACTAACAAGGTCAGGATCCTTTCTTCAGAAGCCTGAATATCTGAATCCATGTGTTTCTATAAGAACATGCAGGCTGCAAAATAAAGTCAATAAGTTTTGCTCCTAGTGTCACATATGCCCTGCGCTACAAGAGCAGTTCTTGTCATATCCAGTAAGAAGCTCATGTTCCAATCTCAATGCTCCAATACCAAAAATACAAGGAGCAGACAGTAATTTCTTTCATTACACAGTTATTAATTCCTACAATTTGAAACTTTGGAACTAAGATTAGCATTAGTTGACTATGTAGGATTGACAATATTAATCATTGCATAATGCAAGATGGACTTGGAGTTGATCCAGTTAACACAATACTGGCTAGAATGAAGAAACGGACCTCAATGAATAACCTCCAGGTGTAGATTTCCTTTACTCAGCGATCTATGGTCAAGATCACAATTTAATAGCTTGTCCCGCTGCTGCACCTATTCCATTTCCATTTTAAGTTTCATCAAAACGCGGTCTTTATGTTTAGGGTCAAAACTGGTATTATATATATATATATATATATATTTATTATTATTATTATTATTATTATTTTATTTTATTTTAATTTTTTTTTTCAGATACAAAGCAGCGGCATTTCTTGTGGCATGGGCACTTATAAGGGTGTAAAAAATAGCTTCCATAGAAGCCACTGATACATATTTAGGGCCTCACCTAAAATGCCGCTCAAAATGCATGTCGCACGCATTTTGGGGCAGCATCCATATATGCCCTAATTTAATGAATTGACAAGGCCAATAATGTGAATGTCAAGAAACCTAAAAATACCTTCGTTTGATTCTTTAACAGTTAACTACCTAAAAACACCATCATATAACTATGGTTATTACTTATTACTGATGCTACATAACTTTTGTCCTCTAATTAGATAATGAGGCAAGGGTTTTCCAATTGGATATTGCAAGAATAAAGAAATTGGCCTTTGGCCTGCACAGTCAGGGGACACAATGTGATGTCCTACCCTGTTAAAAGGAGTTATTGCAGGAAGTAACCATACCAAGGTACAAGCATATCTCAATATGTGTAAGAACAATCACATCATTCCAAGATCAAGGATATCATAGATTATCCACAAAGTAAGTACCCTGAAATTTTCAGAAAAGGAGATTTGGGTTACGTTTGTGTACAAGATATTTTATGTGATGTAGCAGTGACAGTTATCTTCTAGAAGACGCAGATGAGAGAGAAAAGGGTTATTCTGCTCATTAAATATAAATGCAGGAACATACTTGGCGCAAGGCCAATCAGACAGCCAACGCTCTGGCTAAGGAGGTGTTTCCCTAGCATCTTCCTAAAAGACCCTTTGCTTTGCATATTCCTAGAAGAGACACTGCTTCATTTATTCCTTTTGTTTTTTGGTTGTAACCTCATTGCTTGTATAGCATTTTTTGCTTCGGCCACCTTGCTGGTGGCAGAAGATCGCTCCCCTGTTGCAGGCAGCATATTTGTATATTGTACACCTCCTTTACTTAATGGGTGCAGTTTGTATAGAGCCGAGGCTCTAAACAATCAAAGTAAAACGCACCTTCAAATAGGGTCAAGAAATGTGGTTTCAATACTGAAAATCTTTGTGATAGCCTTAAAATACATTTTCATCTTTAATTATAAAATTTAAAGCTTCAAAATAGTGTAGATTGAGCGGATCTGTGAAACTTGAAAAATCTTAAAAATTGACGGTCCAAAAATTGTGTTACAAGATGCACTATTTCCAAAACTTGAAATCTATTTTTTTCTCATGTCCATGCATCTTGATGTCGAGATGATCAATTTGAGGATATTTGGGTATCAAAACAACCTTTTCTAGTGAAAGTTTTGAGGTGGGCTCTAATTTGATTGTTTAGAGCCTCGGCTCTATATAAACTTTTTCCTTACTTAATACATCACAGTTAACATTTACCAAAAAAAATATATATGCAGGAAACAGTTATGAGCAAGTCCTCTTCTCTGCTATATGAGTAACAAGAAACAACAGAAAGTTACTGCAAGCACCACAAGGCTACATCAACATTGCTCTGCCTCTGAAACTCTTAACAGAGATGACTGGGAAATGGATTGCTGGTAAAATACAAGGGGAAGCATATCATATTATCCATAGACTAAGGAAAACTATAGAATAAGGTCGTTCAATTAAATGATGGATGATGATGCAGATAGAGTGGGACCCACCACAGGGTTCACTTCCTCTATGATGGATCCCACCCCCCCTCCATCACCATCAACCATTTCGTAGAATGGCAAAAATTCGCAAGTATACAGTACTCTATTGGATCATAGTGTGCTTGAAAAAATCATAAAATATTGGGTTTGTTTCGAGCTAGTCTCCAATTTTATAAAGTGATAACTGACATCTAAAAAAAAAAAGGGAATCTTCTGTGTGTTAGAAATCACTGAGTGCCATAGAACAAAGTTCATCACTGAAAATCAATTTCAAATCCCTCCTCACGTTGAAACCTTGTGCTTTATTTTTTATTTCCAAAAATAAAAAAAGACCTGCTTTATGCAAGTTAGTGCTGTAAGCAACTGTTGCCATAGGTAAACTTCCATTTCAGACCAAAACACATGCTTCTCATGAGCTCTACCACTAAAACGCATATTTGGGGAAAGAAACTCCAGAAACTGTGTATAAACTACTTCAGAATAAAACCAATAATGAACTAAGAAACAGATATTTCATTTATACGTTTGAATAATATCTGTACCACAAGATTGAACAGACTAAATACAAGCAATAGAGTACAAAATCCTAAGATTTCTCTTCTGAAGGTCAGTTCTGCAAAACATTCATGTGATACCAATGGCTTTAAAGACAGCTGGCAAACCACAAAGTCACAAACTATATATTTCTGAACAAAGATAAACTACATATGAAAGGACAATAAAAAGATCGACTCAAATCATCTTCAATATAAATATAAAAATGAAACAAATAAATTAACATACAGCATGATCCGAGGAAAGGAGGGCAGAAAGGAGGTGCAGCATATCAAACTTAAGTTGGTTGTGCAGCAAGGCGAAATGTCTAGAAATCGCCACAACCTGCAAGAGTTTATAATATTATCAATACATGTTCACTTCAGAGAGGTGGCTTTAAATAATAAATAT